GCTTACATGTACTTTCGGCTTAGTTTCTATTGGCTTGTCTATCATAGCCTACCACTGCTGCTGCTCACTGTTGCAGTTGTCTATGTGTGCTTTAATTGCTACTACATTGACAAGACCCTCGACCACCGTCGTTCTCTGCAGTTCCGTAGGAAGGGTTAATCCACTCCTCTTCTTCATCGTGTTCACCTGCCACCACCGTACACATGCGCTTAATTCTCACAGTTTTCGGCCATGCATCACTTCTTAGTTGCTTGCTTTCCTTGGAGTTTTTATCGATCCACACCTTGACAACGTCCTTAACCGAACCGACCGCAGAGTTGCTTGGACTAGGAAGCCTCAACTGTGCGTTACCGTTGGACCAGTCAGTCTACAAGATTGCCATCCTGGTGCCCTTTGATCCTCGACTTGAGGACATTTTTGCAGCACCTCCAGCCGATCAGGTTTGCCGTTTGCATTTTCCAATGATTCCCCCGAGCCCACCCCGACAGCATTGGAAGCGCATTTAAGGAGGGCAACCAACTTCGACCAGTTTTTGTAGTCTATTTTTATGGGGTACATCTAGTAGGTCTGTGTATCGACATTGTCACATTGCCTTAGAATAATTGTGATAGTATGGCCTTTAAAAACCCTGCCACGTAGATAATAATGTTCAGAATCTTGCCAAAATTTGACACCCACCAGCATATGATTGATGTAGTTGACTTAACCGGTGGATTGCCCATGAAAAATTTCTGAACGCTTTCATATCGCACGTGCTTGCAGTTCTGGCTTTCGTCGGCTGGCTGCTTACCTGGCATATGTAGCCTCAGTTGAGATTTTTTGTCTAGTTTCATATATTGCCGTCTAATAGTTGAGCTTAGCCCTGGGAGTTAGTTCCGCGCTCCTTACAATTTTTCACATGGAATCTCCGTAACCGCAGTTTGAAGATCACATTGCAGATCTCCTGTAGCACAGTACAGCACTATTCTGTATCAGTTTATTGAGGGAAAGATAGGCGAACGCCTTTGAACTCCCCATTGGTTGTTAAACGGGTTTAAGATGTACGCCCAAGCTAGTAGTCGTTATCTCGGTTAGCCAAGGTAATTTGGCTCCGACCAGCTAGGAAGATAATTGAGTTTGAGCTGACCGACTTTTAGGAAACTCCTTCTCCATCGGGCGGACATTACTTCTCTAAACAACAGCTTTCATGAGTAACGATACAAATCAACGTTTGTCATTACCGCTTGGTTCGGCACTACAGGGGTCAGTTTTTTAAGCAAGGCAGTGACATTGTTCAGAGAAATTTGATTGAAATTGTATTGCTTGGTGAGAGCGTCAATTCCTACATGCTAGTTATCTCGAGATCACTGATTGCATCCTACATGCGCAAAAGGTCATAAAGCCTTGGTGTAAATTATTTAGCACACCTTCAAGTAGTCAGGACTAGTTAGGCTCGGTTCCAAGGCAACTTATCGGAGAGCATTATCGTAAACCAATAACTGCATGGTTTTTAAGACCGATGTACACGCCTCCTTAGAGCAAGACCTTGGAACAAGATGTACTTTCTTGCGAAGCATACCTAGAAAGCCCGTTTTCGTGTAGCCTCTCAGGCGAATATGATAGAGTTTATGCAGGTGTCGAACAAATAAACATAACGTAAATTATGCTCTTTTGGACACAATTTGTTCAAAGTGCTGAGTGAGAAGCCAACATAATGCTTATAAAAACTGACTTTAGGAGTTTTTTTGCCCGCCAGACAATTTTGTACAATAAAACATCAGAACTTTCTTGTCAACTTTAGCAAGAATCAAATCATGCTGTAATCTGGGCTCCAGCAAGCAAATGGGTTGTCTACAGTGCTAGGATTCTCTTATCCCTGCAAGTGAAGCGTTTATGCCTTTTTAAGAATTAAGTCACCCTTGGTAAAGAAGACAAATGATCGATCATTTGTCTTCTTTACCAATAGACATACCCGGAATGCGAATATTCTCTCTCATTCGTAACTGACTCTTATCTTCGGAGCTGCAGGTACGAAGTTATTTTTAGAAGAGAAGGGCCTCTTTGATAAAGTTGAAACTTCGATGCGTAAATGTTCGAGACTGGTTCCCCAGCTCGTCTTCAGACATGAGAAAATGCGCAACAAACAACCAAAATTTTAAACGTGTATAAAAATCAATAATCATCTGACGTGAGCACCGATTGACAAC